ATGTAATAATAGGGAAAGAAACAATTAGGAAGCCCCTATATTTATAGTTAAAATTAGAAGTTATTCATATGAATAAGATTGTTTCTAAACACATTCTGTAGCTTTTATAGGTGGAATAAAGAGAACAACAATTATTACATAAGCAAACTTGCAAACATGAAAGACTATTCTTCTGGGATTTTATTTTATTTTTTAATGTATTTGTAAAGCACTTTGCAATTTAAGGTGCTTCATAACAGAGAAAACAGTACAATATGGGATGTAAAAATAAAAATAAGTTTTGCTAGATTAACTTATTGAAACATGCCCGCATGCAGGATATATACACATATATGTATATTGAACTCCTGTGTGTATGTGACCCTCCAAACACGCCAAGCTGGTCACCTACCAGATATCCAGTTGCACTGGCACAGGGGAGAGAAGACTGAGTATTGTTGCAAACATAACCACTGCTTTGCACAGTGGCAAGACAAAGGCAAGATGGACCAATACCTTTTTCTTGGCCTGTAGCAGCTCCTGGTAGGCACTGGATCGTATAAAACGAGGATAAGAATCACTTTTCATCAGTTTGTAAATGTGCTCCTGAAAGGGAAAGAAGGAGCTGTTACTCCCATAAAAGATGACATACGTAAAACGGGAGGCAGTCATACATGTTTTCGTTATGGAATGTATACCAGCTTCCTATTTTGAACAGCAAGTCTTATGGGATAGTAGGTTGCAGTTCTGAAGCTAAGGCTGTGAATTGCTCTCTATTCTTAAAGCAGAAATCCCATCTATTTGCTATATATAAAGAACACAACACACCTTTCTTTAATTTATAGTCCCTATTTCCACTATGGAATTATTTTTCTAAGAATTTACAACTGAGCCCTAGCTTAAGGCCCAGTTTCAAACCTCCGTTACATTTCAGTTTAGCTAAGTGAGTAAATCAGGGGCTGCGGATCCTTCCTCATCAAATTTTCTGAATTAATTTCTGGAGATGTTTTTCTGACTTCATAGGCTGGGAAAAGGTACTAGGTTTCTAATTCAGCACCACAAAGAAGTGCTTAAGTTAGGGAGGATATCCCCTGGCTACTCTTGAAAAAATCTTTTGACAGACATTTGGTTTGCTATCCAGCTGACAATATAAAAAGGAAAATACATATGCAAATTAAAAAACAGTTCCAGGCTAATCTAATTTCCAAGATATTTATTCTCCAGAGGCACATGAAAATTTGGAAACCCTTATCCAGAAAACAAATGGCATAGGCAGTTTATAGAGCTTTTCTTTTTGGAGCATTCTCATTTCTGTAAAATACGAAAAACTAAAAATCTATGATGTAGGACACCTTATAATTCTAGTTCTAGTTATAATGTTAGGAAAGAGATTCGTAGAAAAAGCAATTGGAATAGGAAATACTCTCAAAAATACTTCTAAAAATCCCCTGAATTGTGTTAGCTATTTTTGTTTTATTTTTTACTCAAACCCTACCTTTTACTATAGGAAACTTGTAGCACAGCAATCAGGAAACAACAAATAAACGGTAAAGTAAATACTGTTTCTCAGTTTGATACTGCATAAAATTAGTGAATAGAAAAAAAACCAACAAACCACCTTGCTTGAAAATTATGGTAAGGAAAAATTAAAGCTCATTTTTAATTTTTGTTGTATTAGAAACTCTAGAAATGATTCTAAGTGCCTTTCATTGTATTTCTTGCACTAAGCAGAGAAATTCTGGTGTATATTCAGAACTTAGGCTCTTTCATTTGGGGAGTTTTTATTCCACTCAGTTTCTATGAAAGCAGCCAATGCAGCCAGCAGTGAGCAGAAAGGCCTGTGCTCCTGTTGTACATATCAATAGTGATGGGCATTAAAATATTATTCTGTGCAAAAACCAACCCTGTAAAAGCAAGAATAAATTAGGCTGTATTAGTATTGTTAATGTACACATTAGTCAGGAATTGAGGCTGGATGTTATTTAGCACAATTGATCTATTTTTACTTATGTATCACTCTCATTTGACATGGAGTTCAGTGGTGCCATCTTTCAAGACCAGAAATGCTTTTCAAAACATTTTTAACCACGATTAAATGACCCGCTGACTGTCAGAATGACTTATAAGTGGTCTCTTTCCCAACTGGCAGGCCATAAAGAACCTGTTGCAGAGGCAGAACCCTACTCCTGACAAAACCTTGCCACTTCAGGTGGGGCACGCTGTGAAGGTCCTAAAGCTTCAAGTCAGAACACGGGAGGTACAGTCTGCCCCCTTTTCCCAGAGAAATGGAGGCTTCCAGGTTCAAGTTGTATGCTGAACTGGATCGAATAAGCAGAGGTCTGACAGGAGGAAAAGTCCTGCCTGCATAAAGACTGAATACTTCACATCTTTCATAAATGAAGGAGGAAAAAAAATATGAGAGAGATCTGGAAGTAAAATGGTGTTGGAGCTTTACACCTATTTAAAAAAAAAATTGGATACTGGCAAGGAGTTTCATTGTCCTTCACTGACTCAACTGCATATACGTAGTTTTTTAAAACCTTTAATCTTGCTAGATTGTGTATTTGTGTAACTTACGTCTTTGCTGTAGGTTGCATTCCTAAACCGTGTCAGCAGATGCAAGCAAAAACTGTTTGGCAGAGTACTTCAAAACAGTGGGTATGATATAGTGCCTAACAAAAACTTTATTGTTGCATCATAGGTTGCTATTGTCATAACAGCAAAATGAAAAGGTGGTAGAATTATTCCCCCTCCTATTTAGGGCAGAGGCACTTTCCCAAAAAGTAGAAAGTCCCAATTAAATTCCCTTCTCTACTTTGTGGGACTTGCAGCAGCATCTCCTGACTCCCAAGATGATGACCTAATAATCAAGCTCTAGGAAATTCTGCAGGGATATGATCTCAATCTCTCCTTTTGACACCATTTCACTTTGCATTAATAATTAAATTTTCATCACTGGGCTGCAGATGAAAAAAGGAGGATGGTACTGGTTCTACTACTTTTACTATGAATCCCATTACTTTCTATTGCTTATCTCAGAAGTCTGCAAAGATGAAATATTAAGTTATAAGTCACATGAAGTGTTGCATTCAATACAGAAGCACTTCTTTTTTCTTCTGAGGAAAACTGAGATTTGTATTTTACTGTTTTGTTTTTTTAACTTTTACTTCAATCTCAAAAATATAAGTATTTGCACAAATCTAGCTCTGGTCAAAAGTATCTTTTGATGATGGTATTCAAATTGTGACTAAATCAGACTCCCAAAAGCCAAATAAGACATTTACAGACTGTTCTTCACTGCTGTAATACTGATTATTGAAGAGCAGATCTTTAGGATCTTTGCCCAATGTCCTGTAGAAAATAGTTTAGTAAGGTATAGAATATACAACATCCGTGAAATATGATATTTCTGCACAAGCTGTTACAAAATGTTATTTCTCACATGGGTCATATTCTTTTCATGATGGGAACCTATGACTCCTATAAATGATAACAACACTTTTGGACATGCACTGAGAGAGAAGACATTGAGTCTTTCTGAGACAGATCTTGAGAACTAGAAATCAATGTGTGTGTGGCAAGCTTTTCTCTTAATGTAACTGAATAAGAAAATTAAGGAAACAGGAAGATGAAAATATAATTTTCACTGCATTATATGCTTTGCCCTATTTGAAGCCGATTTGAAGACTCTAAACGAGGCACAGAAGTTTCATGAAGAGCTTTAGTAATTCATAGGCCTTACGAAAGAATGTTACCCATTTGCATTGCCAAAATGGCATTTTAGAGCATTACCATTTAATTCCCAAATATATCTTATTTTTGTATATAGATTTCACTAGCCAATATTCTATTTCAAATGTCCCTTAACAGGATTGCAGACTGACCTGAGCATCTTCAAATGTGTATCTTCCAGGGTCCTTTACATTCTGCGTGGTTTTGTCGTAACTTTTTGAATCCAGGTTGATAGCGCTGGGTGCACCTGGAGCAAGAAATTCTTGCCAGATTTCTTGGACGCGAGCAGGAACTTCGCGGATAGGCCTCTTCTTCAGGTCTTCTACTGCTAACCAGAACCTATGGCACAATATAGCATCTTGACTTCCAGTTCAGTATAATCATTAATGAAGCGCTCACACTTTGCTCTTAAAAAAAATGAAGTAACTGAAGTTTTCATCTAAAACATGCTAAAATGAGAAAAATCTGTGATTTTGTGTTGGGATCAGCATTCTGGTATACTGTCTCAGGCAATCAATCCTCCTTAAGAAGCAATTGTTACAAATTATTACAAGCCTCTTCATGAGACAGGTGGGAAATTCTTCATTACTTATGTATGGGTAACTTGCTTACGGAAGTGTTTCAATTTAACTGGAATTCAACTGAGATTTCATTTAACCTGAACCACAGGGGCTTATATTGCTTATAAACCTATTGCTTTTTGGCATTCCTTCAAAAGCTAATAAGAACTTATGTTCTTGCTATCTACATGAATCTAAGTCCTGGTAAACTATAAACTGTGTAACTGTAGTTTTGTTACTATTACTCCACAAATCATGTATAAACTGGAAAAGCATTTGTTTTGCTCACTATAATTTAATTTCTTTCTTCAGCATTGTATTTCTATGCATATTTTTATTAAAATGCTGCATGGAAGTACCCATTCTCTCTTCTTTTCTGCTGCTGAGCAAACCAACATCAGGCAGCCGCATACAGTGCAGGCCAGTTCCTCGTGTCCTTCGTATTCAGTCTGGAGCAGGATCGTCTTGAGCAGTTTGTGATGACAGCTGGCTAGCTATAAGCTTTGATAATCACTTTTCATTTGCTATTATGATTGTTTCGTCATTTCTTCTATGGGTGTTCAGACTCTCTCACAGCACAAAATAATTCTAAATGCAACTAGGATCCCATGCTTAGACATGGTGCAGACCACTTCGTTCCCTCCTCCCCCCACCCCGAGAGCTCAGCTAAAGTTTGGCTTTGTTAAATATGCAATATATACCATCGCAGCTTTTCACTGTTGTTTTGACACAGCTGATCCTATGAAAGATATAAGCTGAACTTTGAAGTGAGTTAACTGTGGAATAAGTTGGATTTTACAAGGCTGACAAATAATTTGGGTGCACCTTTAAAATGTGGTTCCACCCTGCTTACACTGTGAGATCAAACTGAGCTCTCTTAGCTTAGTTAAACAGGGATGGGATAGGGGAGAGGAACAACAGAACTGTACTCAGACCCCCCAAGAAAGCAAAATGATACCACCCTCAATCCAAATTCTACTATAGTTATTGCAACAACACTTAAGAGAGGATAGTAAAGCATAGCGAAGAAAACCTTACAGTATTTCTCCTATAAGACATTCTTCACTTGAGATGATTTATCTTCCAGGAAGCAATTAGTCCTTCATAGTCCTGTTTTGGAACTCCTTTGTAGCAGAGACGGAAGGAGCTTATGCTCATTGCTCCCCAGCCATTATGGTCAGCTTCACTCTACTGAGATGACTAGTTCAGGTATTTTGACACCCTTCAATTTCCGTTGTACCTAAGCACAATCTTTCTGTCTATTGATCCCTTAAGATTCTCCAAGAGACAGAGAAGTAATATTGTCCCACTTTTGCAAATATATTAATAATGTAATACTGTACAGTGGTTTCTCCAAGGTCACAAAGGGAATCTGTGCCAACAGAAGAACTTCAGTTTCAAAAATTCTGGGTAGTACCACTTATCTCTGTGAACTGCAATGTGAATTGAACACATCTGCAGAGAGTCTGGGGAACATATCCTGAGAATCTGATGGCAATGCAGTAAGAAAAGAGGCCTCATAACTCAAGTTTAAAAACTGCACAGCTCACAAACTCTAATTCAGTTCACTCTGTCAAATTTGGGCAACCTACTTTGGTTTCGTTAAGCTGCTTTAGATATTTGCATTTAAAAGTGTATGTCCTGCAGTGCTAACCCTTCAAATGCATCTTCTGGGACTGACTGATTACTCATGTGCATGGAAGTCAGGTAAGGAATAGAAAAATGAAAGGGAAGGATGTTCTTTGTAAACACACATTTTCTATCACCCTGCAGACATCCTGAGGATCTAGCTCAAAGCTGTCACATTCTTGTTTGTTCCATTATATCACTGCCAATACTTCTGGAAGTCACAACAAACATGACTTAGGATGCTGTTTTCTTTTGCAAGTAAACTGTTTCCATATAGGAAGTTATACTCAATTACGGGGAAATAGATGGGAGATAAATTTAACTTCTTTGAGGAAACATTCAGCTTCCAGCACAGAATAGGCAGGTTGTATAGACACATCCTTACAGGCTGAACACCAGCTCTTTGATAGATTAATTTTATTTTATCCTTCTAACGTTAGCGTTCAAAAACTCTATTGAAAATGTGAGATTCTAAATATAGAAACCTCTGTAAAAGTGGGAAGAAAATGCTGATTTCTGTGGTGTGTTATGTCTAGGGTGCTTACTTCAGAGCCAACACACATTTTAACATTTTAATCCACTTACTGATCTTTCAAGAAAAAATGCCTGCCCTCCTCCCACAGAGAGTTAAAGTCAAATATGCAAAGTTAGGAAATGCCAAAAATAAGACTGCCACCTCTTGCATTTTCAAAAATAACTTTTCCGAATATCCCATGGCAACCAACAGCACAGATGAAGTTGAAATGGAGTCTGCAAGACCTCAGCACAGGGCCTCAAAAGAGCTCCCTGTCCCCTTTTACAGCTCTCTGCCTCATGAGCTGTGATCAGAGCAAGGGCAGACTCCTGTAGCAAACAGCACACAGTGTGCAACAGTAAATATGTGCAAGGGCAGGAGAGGGGAGAGGGGGAACCTAACTGCATTTTCTGGGCAATGATATACACAAACTTGGTGCTACTCCATGGAAGGAACTAGAGCTCAGTCTCTCTGCCCTCAGATGAAACTCTCTATCTCCTGTCGGTGGAGGTTTGCTTTTGCCGTGGAGGTCCTCTCTAGAAGATGCTCAGTACCGTTTGAACAGAGACCTGAATAGCTGGGTGTAAACCTCGCTGCTGTCTTCTGTCCCAGCATTTGGGCTGCCACATGCTGGGTCACACGTCAGATGTATAGCTGAGTGAGAGTGTATAGCGTATGACAGTCATACATCCAGCCACGACACGGTAAGACACATGTTGCAAGACATCTGGGGATTATGTCCTCCAGCTGGATTACTTTCAAAGTAAGGGTGGCCTTGCCAGATAAGTAGCACAGCTGCAACATGGCTTCTGTCCCATTAACTGACCTAAATGTCAGATGCAGCCATCAGCAGATCCCAGATCAAGCTAATCAGTTAAATTTAGCACGTAGGAACACAGAGTAAGAGAAAGGCTGCAGTGATTCTCCACAAAATGTGTGAGGTTTAGGCAGAGTGTGGAGACAATTAAGTGGGAATTATGTGGGCTTTGCACCCAGTGCAAGTGACACAACAGGCCAGAGGACAGGCCTTTCAGCATTTTCAGCAAAAGCAAAGAAAAACTTTAACAAACTCCAGGGAGAAAACAAGCTAATATTTTTCTAGGGTCAGGAAAGACTACTCTCCGATTCCTAGAGTCCACCTTCTTGCCAAGTACAAGTTCAAGTTTCAAGACATAGTAGTGATGAAGGTCTTCGAGAAAATGACAGAGAAAACCATTAAATCTTGCAACTAGTTCCTTATCACCTAATCTGCAGAAATGGCAGCATTGCTGGGACTTGGATTCAGCTTGAGTCTGAGTGAGAAATAAAGTACAGGTGATTTCAGCCTTCAGGACTAAATTTTGGTCAAGTTATTAGCATCTAAAACAGAGTCTCATAATCAACAGTGTGAAGGATAAACATTACCAGTGCTCACACTGCGTGGGAGAGTGTCATTACCAACACTTCTGTTCACACTTGCAGGACAGACATCAAGGACAGTTCATCAATCTTCATACTTTGTAACATGCAGAACTCCTCCACAGAAATGTCTTGCATTTAAAGTCATCAAGAGTGGTGATCAGTAATAAAGAGCAAAAAAGTGAAACAGGCTGGATTAAAAAGAAAACTTAACCTCTTGCACCTTTCTCCCTCTTCTCTAGTAAAAGCCCTGTCATGGTGTTATTAAAAGAATAACAGAACCACTGAAGTAAGTTAGACATAAAATTAAGCACTTTGACTGAAACAGTTTGTAGGCAGCACTGCAAATTTTTAGCAGTGTATATGTGGGTTTTGTTTTTTTTTTTTCTACAGGACATAATTGAAGCCTCTATCTCCAGTACAGAATATTTCTACAACAACTTAAATGGATGAGTCCAAAATAAACACCTCACAAAATCTCAGCTTGCAGGGGGATGGTCAGAGAAAATTTATCGAGAGAAAACATCTAAATCTAGCTAACTCTTCAATCCCTCTCTTATTTTTGTGGACAACCAGAACTCAAAGCCCCTTTTCCCTATTTATTCACACATTATGGAAGCTAATAAATGAGGATCAAAGGAAGGGGTAAGGGGTCCAGTGGCTTTTCCTTTTGTGCATCATGGAAGATGTCCTGGCACCACTCTCCCTTCACTAACCTAGGAGGCTTTTGCAGTCTTAGCACTGCCTTGGAGATCACACCCACTACAATACTGCATAATGGCTTGGACAGGCTTTGAGATTGGCAGGCCTGAAACCACTTAGATCTTTACAGGCTGCGATTCCTACAAAACAACCACGTGGGAGCAAATGTAGTTAATATGAATATTAACTTCCCAAAGAATTCTGCAGCACTACAGACAAAGGAAGGATATGGAGAGGAACGGGGATTTTCTACAGGTATGAAAGAAATTAGGTCTCCAGGTGCCACATTGCAGTAAGATTCATTTCACTATCTCATTCTCTTTGAAAAGTCCTTTTTCAGTGCTTGGACAGCCTTGTGACCAAGCTCAGTAGTATTGGATCACGCTCAAACTTAAGTCTTGTGAATTTTAAACAATGGTCACCATTTTTGTAATAGGCAGTGGGAATTTTATAAATCTATTATCCAAATCATATGTTTCTTTAGCTATTTGTTCTGTGTAGTGAGCAGCATGCAAAGCGACCCCTCCAAAAATTCTGCATGGTAACAAGAGATTACAAGTCATAGCCTGCATTAGGTGAATGCAGAATCCAGCCTGGGTGTTAGCAAACTGCAGTCACACTGTAACGAAGCTACCGCACTGACAGAACTGCTTAGACAGTTTTATTCCTTTGCTATGCTTTACAACACCCCTTTAGAGAGTGAAATACTATTAATCCCAATTTGCAGGCAAAGAAAAAAAGCACAGAGATACGGAGTGAGAAGTTTGCATTCCTAATCATTGCACAGTTCTTAGTTTTAATTCATGGCTCAAGTTTCTTCATCCCTGTTCTCTTTCTTAAAACAGAATCTATATCCCCTAAGAATGAGATTCTCAACCAGCTTAGACACTCTCAGTCCAAGTTAATGAAACAGTAACACTGGGACTTTTAGCTCCATAAGATAATGACACTTGAATAGAAATGGTGTATCTGGTAGAGTTATTTCACATTTTTGGCATTTCTTTCACCAAAGCGTGGTATAAGACTTCTAATCAACCAATACTGAATCTCTCTGTAGTGTCTGCAGTCCCCTGCTGCATCCCATGTACTGCACTTGGTAGCTTGAATCCAGGGTCCCACCTGTCTATCCCACTGTAGGTTTGACGGTACTTGTTGCAAATTTTATCATTATTAGATTTGTAAAAGGACGAGAGCCAGCTACTGACTCGAGTTCACTTTGTTGCAATGGGAAGATGTGGATGGAAATAAATCTTTTTCTCACAGTGGCTGTCAAATCCAAAAAAACCACCCCAAACAACCAAATTGCCACAGTGGGGTTTACAGGAGAGCAAAAAAATTGGTGGTGTTTTATATTTAAGGTTTATTCAGCAGTAATGCTTGAAACGATCAAACTTTTAATTTCTGTTACTGAGATCTATAACATTTTGACTCCCATACACAACAAGCTTTACAAATTCATGCTTTCTCACCTGACTTTACTGTGTGAGCCTACTGGTGGATTGATTTCCCCCCAGTTTGAGAATTCATAAACATAATTCTGAGATTGTGAGACAGTTTTCCTTCAGTTAATCATCACAGAAAGCACCTTTTCAGTGCAAGTTTGATCCCCTGCCTGATCCTTCCCAGGGACAGCCTTTAAGCTCATATTCACCGTTGCTCAGATACTATATTTTATAATGCCAATATAAGAAGCTAGAGAGAGAGACAGAAGAGTAGCTGGCATGTCAAGGAATCAGCTCTGAACAAATTTCTCTAGGGCATTTTTCTGGATCAGTCACTTGCAGTTTGCCTGTGGTTAGTGCTGTAAATAGGATTAGAAGGAAGAGCTAGGGATTATGCGGGTGGCAGTCTAGTTAGCAGAGAGACAAATTAATCACAGAAATGCATAGAAACTGCAGCACACACTGGGCTGGATAGGTTCATGTTTGAACAGCTGCTCTGCATAAGGAATTACCAGGATGCTCCTTAAATAAAAAAATTACCTTTCCTTTTCTTGGTATTATTCTGATTTTGAAAATTTCATTTTACCACTTGGATTTTTTTAATTAAAAAAATCTGTATCTGTCACTAATGGAGTTATCAACATACACATACAGGTCAGGCCACATTTCCATGGGGGTAAAGGCAAACAAACCGGTTCGAAAATATCATAAGGCCTAGAGTATCTAATATACATTTGTGATGAAAAATTCAATGTTTGAATATGAACATGGTCAACAACTTAGAGAAGTCCATCTCCAATTATTCTGCTGACAAACTTAAATTAAAAACAAGGAGGTCTGTGCAATTACTTACAACCACAAAATGCTAAATGCCACTCAAACACCACAAAATGCTAAATGCCTCTTGTCAGATGCTACATAAATGTAACTCTAGTATGAATGGCTATGCTGCACCACTTCAGAGTGAGAACTGGCATAGAAAAAAAAGTAGTTTAGGATTTTTCTGAGATTCAGAATGTGTGCAAATAGCATTTTATACTCCTTATGCTATTGGTGAATGGGAAGTGGTACAGATGACATCTGACAAGAAGGTGGAATAAAGAGAAAAATACGTTGTACATGCTTTTGTGCTATGTGCAGTCTGACATCAATAGAAAGGCTGTTATCAATCCCTCTGAAATAATTCTTACCGAAATATGACTTCCTTAGAATAGTGATAACAAAACATGCTATTAGCCAATGGATGGACTATCATTTTTTAACGTCAAATAATTGTTCTCCCTCACTTAAAAGTAATTCTGTATATATACTTTTTAAAAAAATTTATTTAAGCTTCATACACTAGCAGGATCTTCCCATTTTGCAGTTAGCAAGGAATTTGAGAGCTAGCTGTCACACTACCTCTGTTGTGTCAGATCCATGAGTACTAAAATCTTGGTGGAAATTTTCAAAAGACTAATGATCCCCAGAAACCTGACCAACAGTGAAAGTCTGTGAATTTTACTTTTAAATCCCTTATTTATTTTTTAAGAAATGCTTTTTTTTTTTAATTTTACTGTTCTCATAATACTGGACTTAATAAAAGATACTGAACGGGCTTTGAATGGGTTGATGTTTTAAACCTGTTTAATGAGCTGAGAGAAAAGCTCTTACATGGGTAGTTTGACCAAAAGTTGGACATGAATCGGAAAATATGCTTCGTGTGAGTCTCTGCTAACTATATCAGTCTTTCCCTCAGCCTGAATATGGGAGCAGGCAGCAATTTGCATGAATGGATTCTGAAAGGTAAGACACAGGAAAATTTTTGAACGGGTCAAAAAATGAAAAGAAAGGTATCAGACAAAAAAAAAACCCCAAACCAATGTATCTTACAAGCTATTAAAAAATAAAGTCCCTCTCATTTACCTTAAATTTTCTGAACTGAATTCTGACTCCAGGAATTTGAGAAACTGCTCTCTTCCCACAGGGTCTTTCAAAGCTTCATCCATGCCAAATCCCCATCGTTTCACCCTCTGCTGTCCTGGCTCTTTGCTACAGAAGTAAAAACAACAGAACTTACAATCAGCAATAGTCAGTATTCTAATACTCTGTGTTCATAATTTAGACTAAGTCCTAAAGTTCAACCACAGATTTCTCATGTTCCAGATTGCTCATATCTGTGCAACGTTCAGAGATGAGCAACCAGGCTGTTAGTACTTACAGAGGATGAAGGTAATACGCATGCATTTACATAGAAGAATAAAGACTTCCAACTAGCAAATGTCACCAGATTTTAAAAGGTGCCTTTTTTCCCCACACTGGAGCCCTGGAAACTGGTTACTGTAACTTTTTACGCAGATTTAATAATCCATAGCTCTTCCCATGTTATGAAACTGTAAAGCTGGAAAGACCAAGAGGATACTGCATTGCCCTTCTGCCTCAGTATCTTCCTGCAATACCTCTGTCTGAAATCTTCACGTTTCAAGAATGGTATACCCCCTTACCCCAAAAGAAGAAATAAAATTATATACCTTGCTTCCAGTTCCCAGAAAGTGGTGTCGTCTGATATCCAAGGGTTTGAGGGATCAGGGGGCACAAGAAAAGGATCGTATTCCAAATACTGCTCTGTATAAGCTAATAGACTAGGAAAATAAAAGCATCAAACATTGTCATGTCAGGAGGTGAGGAAATCTGATCAGGTTACCCCAGTTAAACAAGTTACCTTGCATCAACTGAACCATGGCAACCAGGTGTGCACACATGCAGAAGTCAGCTACAAGCTCAGGCTAAAATAGGTTTGCTCAAGCCTTTTAAAAGTGGACCCCTGAAGAAGGAGAGGTGGCTCAGGTCTTATCAAGAGCTGAAATAAAATAAACAACAAACTTCCCTAACACTTCCACATAGCTCCTCCTAGGGCTCCTTTAGGCACTCATAAATTAAATCAAGCAACCTCTTCCATGCACATTTGCTTTCATAAAGGAATATGTTTTATACCCCTACGGTTTTAATTATCAGTTCCTTTAAAATCTGTTTTAAAACACTGCATGCTATTCAGGTCATATTTATTGGCCCTGCAGCTGCTGGGAGTCCTTTTTTCCTCTTTTAAATACAGTTAATATTTTTATTATTTCCTAATCAAATGGCACTACTCCCAAGTTTATTGCTTTCCAAAAAAAACCCCATTTTTTTTTCCAAATTCTTCAGCTTTCATGAATTGGTCTGACCCAGCTGAACACACTAAAAAAATTGCTTGTATTCTGGTAATTTACATCTCCCATGCTCTTATTCCCACTTTCCATGTTTCCTTTTGCTTCAAAATTATTGAAAAATTATTGATAAGTGAGGGCAAATATTCTTTCTTTTCATTCCTATTTATATTACATTTAGTCTGTATTCCATTTTTACTGTTCAGCAAACAGAAATTCTTAACCTGTTCTCTTTCTAAATATATATTTATATATGTTTGTACGTGTATGCATACATACACATATGTAAGTGGACACCCATGCACAACATATACGAGAAGATGAAGAACCATTTGTATTTGGCTTAATTTCCTTTACTAAGTCTTACGCAGCTCAGTTTTCTGCAATTTTCACTATCCCTGCCTTTGATGTGCAAGATAAACCCTTCCTTTTCTCTACCTCTTCTCTACCTAAGCTGTAGTTAATCTTTCTGAGGGGCTTTTTATTTTATTTGCTTTCTAGCCCTTTCCTGACAAATTTTGGTCTTATTTGGAGAAAGATTCCTACTAGTGTAACATCCTCTGAACCGAAGTAAGCTCAGACTCACTTTGTTCAAGCACCGAGCTCCTCACCCAGCCAGCTCTGCCAGCAGCTCCCTTGCTTTGTCAGTGATTGCCCTTTTGAAATATCAAAACAGTAACCCCAGACCTATTTCCATTTAGCCTCCCTGCCAATGGAAGGTGAAACTTGTGATCACTTGGTCAGAGGCTCTTTCAGTGACTCTTGGGTTTACCAGAAATGTATCATGGAATACCTGGGCCATCTTTTATCAATAAAAGAACTTCATACCTCCCACTTGAAGTAAACTCTCATCAGTTATTTCTGACACCTGAGCTCCCTTGTCTCTCTTTCTTTGAAGCTATTTCATACTGACATTTTCCCAATAGTTATCAGTCTAATTGAAAAAAACAGAAGATGTGACAATATACTTACCTCTCTGCAACTTTTGACATTTTTAATCTATGTCTGTCTAATTGCATTTGCCAGTGCTTAATCTGCAAGAAAGGAAGGCAAAGAGTGTTATGAGTAACTCATTGCTTGAATCTATTTCCATAACTTTTTATTAGGGCTGTAATTTAACCTTAATTTATCTTAGGGCACAGAAGAGAAATATATCTGAGTTAAAACAACATTTCACCAGTGTAGTTCTAAAATAAATGGAATTTTCCATCAAAGACAAAAGATCATACAGAGACAAAAAAGGACCCAGTGCAACATTTTCCCTAAAGATTCATCAAGAAAAATCCAATTAGCCTTTTTTTATGATTTTTGAAGAGAACTACTAATTCTTCAGACATTTACCTTCTCCCAATTCTAACACCTCAGGAAAGATTAATGAAGCATGAACAGTAGATAAATGTGTGAACCCATGTGTGCATACACGGAGAGGTAAGTACACCCCCAAACCTCGAATCAGTGTTGAAAGGAAGAGCGAGCTGTCTATTGCTGAAGGAGCTAATGGGCTTAGCTATGCAAAGAACCCACTAACTGGCCTGCTACTAACTGCCTTTAACTGTTTAATGCAAGATACAAAAAATGTCAGGTTTTGTCTCATTAGTTTTAATACAAGTTACATACCTAAATCCATAGACCCTGAAACAAGCAAAAGGTTTACTAAACGTTTGCTAGATCTGTTCTGAACAAACAATACGATAATGTTTGATAATCCATGATAATTTTTGGTTTAATACCTACTTTCCTAAAAAGTTCATTTAAAAGTACATGTTTGTAGTTATTTTTCAAACCTCTTGGTGTAGTTCATCTTCTGTGGGTGGCTTAGTCTCTGGTACTGGTGTGTGGGTAGGGCTGTGACTTCGAATGTCGTTTTGTAAGCCATAGACAGACTACACAAAAAATACGGAACAATGATAGTTGCTTTCAGACAATGCTTTCTACACATAGCCATAGTAACTGTGATGTTTTAGTACAGCGTGCTCAAGAAGTTAGCCAAGATCATCTTATTCGGAAGAAACTGCAAATAAGCCATGCACTCAGATAAAATTGTGCTTCTATATCATGGTGTAAAATAAAGACTCCCCAAACCCCACAATTTCATAATGCCATAGAACACAGGATCTATTTTTATTATGTCTCTATATTAGTAATATAATAAACATGGGGGTAGTATAGTAAACATGGGGGATGACACTGAAAGGCAGCTATTACAGTAAGTGGAGATGACTGGTAGGAAAAGAAGAAAGAGTATCCTGAAAGGTAGACTATCACAATGGATTATTTGGATGACTCCCAAATTTGCAATTACTGCTTGGTAAATTACGCTAATCTGGACCTTTCACTACCATAAATAAACTAAGCTAAAACTTCCTCTAAATCCACTTTCCTTTCTAAAACACGTTTTTCCATGGGTTGACATAAAACTATACCTCAAAGGGAGTACTTTAAAGTTGGAGTCAATATACATTATTATGATACAAAGGATTTGAAAGAAAGTGTTGTTCCAATCCATCTATACATCCCTAGGGAATTTACACTGTTCATGTCTGGATCCTAATTTAGATGAAGCTAATTTCCTCCACAATTTCTGGCCATTCATTTGGGGCATAATTATAAACTAGAGACACCCTTTTCATTAAGGCCAGCACAAGAATAACTGCTGTTAGAGTTTACACTGCATTTTTAATTTATTTTTCCTTAATTACTGACAGAAACATTTTAACATGCTTTATTCAGTCTGGTAAACAACACGAATAAAGCACGCAAAAATGAATTTTATTTTCATATTCTCTGTGTATTTCTCCAAAGCCTTTCTTACGTGATAGCATTTACCTAGCATTAGCAAATTTGTTAATACTAATTCATTTAAGAGCTTATGAAATAATAACGTACGTTCAAATATTTGTTCTTTGCAGCTGTAAGAAAAAATTGTTTTAGGAAACTATGGAACTTCGTGCTATAAATTACATCCAACTCCTGCTTTTGATATAATAACAGTACTTACCTTTCTTGTTTTATGTGGGTTTCTCATTCTTGAAGATTTTTTTATATCCACTTCAGTAGTGTTTACACATCCAGGCTATTAAAAGAAAAAGAAAGTAAAGCACAACGATAAAATCTGCGAAGGAACTTCATACTATTTTCATTGAGATACTCCTCTTCAGTTTGTAAGGCTAAGAAAATAAATAAATAGAGGCATATAATAACTTGATGTCCTTCTGCAATAGTCCCTAAAACCTAAATAAAATAGAGTCTAAGAAAGCATCTCAAGTACCATTTTGTCTGGCTTATTGTAAGAGAGATTCTTTTGCTATTCAGCGTTGTTTGCTGGACCCTATGATGTTTTTTAGGACAAGTTTTATTTTATATCTTTATGCTGAAATTACTAAAAGCAATGTGCAGAGGAACAGAAAATATCCAAATGCATATTATAAGACACACTTGCAGCACAGACAGGTACTAATTCAAATTAAATTGCTGTTGGGAGTACTTGGGAATTTTGGAGTGAGACAGTGAAGACCACATGCTTAGAGCTCATGACATCGTGAATTTGAAATAAAATAAATTATCAAAATAACAGAAACAAATCACATGTTTCTCCTTTCGTTTTGCCAAGGAAGCCATACAATGTGCTTTCTAGCTATCCCTCTAAGAAGCATGGTTGACCTAATGAGACAAAATAAATAGAATTGCGCAATAGCCACCTCAGCTGTGAACCCCAGGCTCCCTTCAGGAGCATCTGGGTTTCGGTCACTTTTTAAAATATGATCTTTTTTTACAAAAGATTAAAAAAATATGCCAAGATGGGACTTGTTTCTTCAGAAAAGAAAAGGAAAAAAAACCAACAAAAAAACCCCAGGCTTCAGCAGAAGACTGGCAGTCTAAACAGAATGACTCAACACATCTGATTTGGCCTTCAAAGATTCATTCTCACAACTCTGTTGCTTCCCAAAAGACACAAGTCCTCTAGTTTCTCCTAATTCGTCTTCGTTTGACACTTCCCTTTAAGTATGAGCTCTGCAGAAATCTGTTCTTTACCCATTGCTGGAAACAACTAATAGTAAGTGTTATGCTCTCAGGTGAGTTTCACCTATCGATTTTAGAGGGATTACATTTGGCACCGAGAGTGGGAAGTACAAAATCTTCTCTCTAGTAGGAGCAGATTTTTAGTGAAAAGTAGGTTGGGTTTTTTTATTGGAAGTAGCTAGATGTAGAATTTACTTGCCAGACAACCAAGCTAGACTTATTATCACACCAATGATACAAGCTTTGTCTTCTTATAGTAATGCAAAATGCTTGATGTGGCTGTAAATCTTCACAGACAAAAATTTTAAACGTTTCTTATATAGGCAGAGCCAAGAAACAAATACATTTAATTAAACAGGCCAATGGTACTTTGCCTCTGGAAAATATTTTAACTAACAGACTGATCATTTAATCCAGTATGATTTTTAAATTAATAAATAAGTTTTTATTTTAAAGTAATCCATTAATGTGTGCTTGATCATATTACATTTGCAGTATAAACAGTTCCTCATCACTAAGAATAAAAACAGGCACTTAGATAGCATTCTCAAGACTGCATCTGACATGCCTGTTGAGCTAGATTTGGGAAGGTACACTCTGTGCTTGTGAACAAAAATGGTAGTTTTTTAACTCAGAATAACTTGTAATTCTCAAAGACAATGACAGGTTGAAAAATACAAAATTCTGCATGATGGTCAATTTAAAGGCAGAAAGCAATTTCACAGGGCAGTATACTGAGATATGAAGTTAAAAAAACCCCAATGCATCTACTTTAGGATTATGGCAGTAGTTGGCAGTGAAGACATGGGCTTTTAATAATATCTACAGCCCTTGAATGCAACCATTTGAATAGCAGGCACACTTACGTAAGGCACAAACTGTTATTTGTTTAGCTTTCAGTTATGGTTTGTTAAAAGCATGTCTTAAAAATGGAGAGGGAAAAAAAAGGCAAAAAAAAAGAAAGAGCATAAACCTCATCCAAAGCCTCTCATTTTCAAAGATTTCAAGTCTACCAGCAGTAAATTGGTATGAACAGATCTAGCACCTTGCCCAGGTAACTTATATGCCAGAGCTGTGCAGACTGATGCAAGGGACACAACGAGAAATTCTGGGTGATTTTTAGGAATGAAACAAGAGCGAAGCTTTTGCTGGTTGGAAAGAGACCCAACCCAGTCCTGACCTTCTATAGCATCTAGTGGATTCTTACAGACACCTGGCTGTTTAAAACCTCTCACGCTGAAGTAAAGCTGCTGTGGCGTACTTCAGCAGGGGCACTCACGAGAGGCTGTGAGGGCAGAAACCGGACCAAGGTGTGGCCGAAGGGAAGCCGATAGGAGAGCAGCAGCAGGAAGGTACAGGCTGGGAAGCATCAGGGAGCTTCAGTGCAAAAGGGAAGGCAGCTAAAGGGCGTATCACTACTCTGACAACCTGGGGTAACAATAGGCATTTAAGACATATATCATGACCACTATACAATACCGTTCTCATAATTTGATTTAAATTATATCACTGGAAGTACCTAATGTAATTGGGGCCACAATTCATGTTTTCTTCTCAACTGAAGAATATTTATTAAAACGATACTTGATATGAGATGGGATTTATTGTTTCTCCAGTGCTGCCACACTTCATCTGTCAATTTTTAGGAATAAATATCAAACATCTATTCAATTAAAACAAACATAAAAGCTTGGGTTATTTGAACATTTTGCTAAAATAACTCAGAGTCTTTGTGGGAAAACCTTTGCTGGACAACATTTCATTTTATTTGTATGCCCCCACTAACATAATAAGTCGTCATTCGGATACAATTACATCCAGCTGTGTTTTCTTTTTGTGTTGCTTTTTTAACTGGACTACCATAGTTCAAATAGTGAGATGCCTGTCAGAGTGCTCTGCTGCAAGATTCCCATTTAGTGTGTAGTATATAATTTGCATACTAATACTGTAAATAGTTTTCAAACAGATTTCCTGGAAGACTTGAAACCTTTTCTATATATGTAAATAGAACACTTGTTTCTTTCAGGACTAATATTCTGTATGAAAACAGTTCCCCCTCCACACACAGTGAGGGAAGTCTTGTGACCTTGTTGAAATTATCATACAGCAAGATCATAACCAGGGTAGAATTTGGCCTTCATCTGTTTTCAAATAGCTGGCTGAAAAACTGTCATATATTCAAAGGAAACTTAGTTTCTTTTCATCCGTTAGCATGCCCTTTTCTCAAAATACAAATGCAATTGTATTAATTTACAGCAAAGGACATGTCAGTCCAGTCATGATTAATTCACTGCTGAGATAAATGGATGCAGATAAATAATATAAAAACCCACATATAGAAGATTTTTTAATCCCTGCTTCAATTATTGGATAATCATATTAGTATGAATTTCAAGCAGCACAACTTTCTATTGATGCTGTCTAGGAGGCTGCATAATAGGATGCTGCCAAGAAACACAGTGGAAGGAGGAAGCCTCCTCTGCAAGGAGAGGAGGCCCAAGAACACCAGGTCCAAGAACTTACATGCTTGGATCTGGCTACAGCCAACATTTGAAAACAACAACGACCTGAGAGTATGTTTAGTTAAAAAAAATCCACTTGATATTCATAATCTTTCCCTGATAACTGTGGCAACAGTGAATTAATTAATTAAGCCCTTGTAATAGTGCTAACAGTGAATTAATTTTTTTGACACCTGAAGCAACTCTTTGGAAGAACTTATTGTTTACATCAAATGGGATGCTTTAGCCATGGTACATTTCCATCCAAATAGTGCAGAATACCTAATATTTATAGCCTGTTTGCTGTACAAACTTGCACACTGCAAGGGCCCTTTTTATGGCCTGCTCACATAGCCAAAATCAATTGCTATCAACACCTTTTTGTGTAAAAATCTCTTTGCTATGATGTACTTGTAATTCTAATAGTGTGAAATCCTCAACAGAAATTAAATTAATTTTTATAATGACATCAGTTTAAGTTTTGATCTTTTTTTCTTTCTTAAAGAATATGGCAATATAAGTGTGAATCTACTTAAGCCAGAATAACCAGAAGTTTTCTTTTATCTGAGGCAAATACACCAATGTATGTGGGAGGGAATAAGCTCATGCATTGCAATAGGCTGGGAACTGTCTGTATTGCTGCTCTATAGAAAATGATCTGAGGGAGAAGCTGAACATGAGTCAGCAGCATGTCCTTGCAGCAATGCAGACAAACCACATACCCAGCCGCATTAGCAATAGCATAGCCACCAGGCACAGGAAGCAGATTTTCTTTCTACTCAGCATCATGAGGATACATCTGGAATACCAAGACTAGTTTTGGGCCCCATAAACAAAACTAGAAATATATTCAAAATGCAAAAGTCCAGTGGAAGAACAGACTTTTTTCTGTTTGCAAAAGGGGAGAGCTAACTGTTGTCTTCTGCTGCCTAAAGGGGGCTTGCAGAGCTAGACCTGTTGCAGAGGTGCACCATGAAAGAACAGGAGGCAATAGTCAGAAATTACAGTAAAGGAAATTCCAGTTAGCTATGAAGAAATATTCTTCATAATAAAAGGAAGAAGCTGCTTAAGAGAGGCTGTGAAATCTCCATCCTTGGTGATTTTCAAAGCTTGTTTAACCAAGGGCCTGGACAATCTTATTCAATTTAGAAGTTAGCACAGCTTTGAGCAGAAGGTTGGACTAGACGACCTCCAGAGGTCCCTCTCAGCCTACATTTCTGTGGTACAGCCTATGACCTTCACAAGCTGCAGGGATTGAAATTCACATAATCCACCTTACAGAACACTCCAATCAAGTATTCATGGTAGTGTGAAATTCGTCACTCTTCCTTTCCCTCCCCACAACAGCAGAAATGTAATTTCACAGCCTCTTTAGCTAAAAACGCATAGGTGCTATTTAAAATAATTACCTCATTTCAATATGCACACCCATAAATTCATGGTGCATTAAAGCAGTAAATATTTAGGCAGATTGATTCACATCCCTTACACAATTTCATTGCATTTCAGTGTCAATACACTATGAAATAGATCTTTTTATTTGTTTTGCAAG